AGCCTGGGTCTGTCTATGTCTGTGGTCACCAGGATGCCAAGATGCCAGGAGGTAGGGATGTGGTTTTTGTGTGTGTATGTGTGTGTGTGCACTCCCGTGCATAAATCTCTGGGCATGGCTGGGGGCCCTTGCCAAATAGGGCAAAGCCAAAAACAGTGAGATGCTGCCACCATGAAAACACCCAGGACAGGCATGGCCTTTGGAGGCACCAGGAGAGGAAGATAACTCCTCTGCACGTGGGTGCTTGCCTGGGGCAGGGTTTCCTCAGTTTCTCCTGTCCCCCTTTTACCCGCAGAGAGGATGACCTGTATTTCTCCACCCAACAACTGGTCCAGACCTCTAGGGTGGGAGACTCTTGCACCAGGCATTTGGGACAGATTTCCAGTTGGCCCACCCCTCCCAGTGATGCAGGCCCACCCTTCTCAGGGTCCTTCAGGGCAGTGAAAGCAGCAGCCTCTCTCAGTGTCCTGACAGAGATACTCTGAAAGTCTGGGCTCCCTGGGCATGAGGCTGAAGGCTCCCTGTGAGATGGGCCTGTTCTCGGTTTCTTGTGAGGTTCTGCGGCACCCAGCCCTGCACCAGCTCGCTGGGCTAAGGGGTCTGTATCTGTCATGTGGGGCTTCCCAGAGCCTCTCCTCCACAGGCCCCAAGGATTGGTGTCCCTACACTCCACCATCCAAACCGGAACAGTGGTGAGATGGAAAGGGGCATGCTACTAGCAAATGCCAGTCAACAGGCACCGACTGGACTGTCTTGGGTCACTCCATATAGACCAGAAGGCTCAGCTGGGTGTCAGCGTGGAACACAGGCAAGAGGGTGCCCTCTCTCTGGGGTGAGGGGCACTTCTCGGGTCCATACACTACTCTCTGGCACCCCAGTGCAGCCTGGGGGCCCACAGGAACCAGTGCTGCCTTTCCAGCCTTGCTGCTTGGAATCCCAGTGTCAGGCACATGAGGCCTGAGGTCCTCTGGACCCTCTGCCTGCCCCAGGGTACCACATGCCCTGCAGTTGCTCATCTCAGGGAAAGAGGGGCAGCTGGAGGTGTGGGGATGATCCCAGCCCCTCTCTGGGACCCTTAGGATTTTAGATGCTGGTTCCTGTGTCCCTGACTTTCCCAGCCAATTACTCAAGTCCCTAGAAGCCCCCAGGGCTCAGGACACCTGTTCTGTGGTGCTGCTCTCTGGCCTGAGCCACAGCTGTCCAGCTTTATAGATGGCAGTCTGTGGCCACCATGCCAACATCCCTCTGGAACTCTGGGCCCTCTCCGAAGGCTCTGGTGCCCCCTGGGCTGTTGGGGCCGCTTGGCAGCTCCCATCTCTGCTTTGGCTCTGTGCATGGAGGTGTGGGTGAGGGGATCCCAGGTCTGCTCGGCAGCTCCCAGGCTGTGGCCCTACTGGGAGCCTTCACTGCTGGGCCTGTGGTAGCCAATTCCTTGTTGCCACACACTGCATTTTCTCAGTCCCTCCGTTTCTAGTGCTCCTCACACCTGCTGTGGTGTCCTCCTCCTGGGAGGAGGAAGGTGCCACCCAAGCAGCTGTCTCTCTCCTGGCTGCCTCTTCTGCCTCCTTTGATTCTTCCAAAGTGGGTGCTCCCCAAGGCTCTTTCCCAGATTCTGTCTTCTCTTCTCCTGCTGTCCTCTTTCTGGGAGGCTGTACCCCTATGCTCCTACAACTATCTCCATCCTCAGCTCTGTATCCAAGTTCCCAATGTCCCCTATCCCCAGCATACCTGGCATCCCCATATCAAGATCTGCCTGCTCCCTGTGGCTCATAATGCCCTCAAAAAGTTGCTGCACTGCTCAGAATGTTCCCTCTTCCTTCAAAAGCACCTCCTCCCACCCTGGACCTGGGTCCTGTGCTGGGGTGTCAGGACCTCCTGGCCCCTTCTCAATCCTGCACAGCCTCCAGGCCCCTCTTGCTCCCAAGTGGGCTCTGCTCTCCCTCTGCTGCCCCTGCCCGCTAAGCCATACTGAGGCAGACTGGAATATTCTGTTTCCTTGTTTCCTTACTTGGCCTCTGTTGTGTTTTCTTGTTATTGCCAGCTTCCACTTAATTCAGCTCCACCAGCTCCACTAGCATCCCTGCCCTCTCCTCTGGTGCTCTGAGAGAGGTGTCCTGGGAGGCTGGGGCAGACCAGTAGGAAGGAGGACATAAGGTCTCCTACCCCCATTCCTCAAGCCCTGTGTGAGGAGTAGCAGAAATATAGGGACTGAGCAAGACTTGTGTGTGTGCCAGCAAAGGCCATAGACATTTAGGGATGACTTCCTGGAGGGGACATGTGATCTCAACCTCAAAATAAGCGGTAACTTTTTGCAGTGTTGATAGGAATGGTGAAAAGTTACAAAACCCCAATGCCGAGCAGAAGACTTGATCCACACACCATGGAATAGTCTCGAATGTAATGTTATGAAAATGGCCCAGCAGAGATAAACCTCAGTCTCATCTTCACACTGAGTGAAAATGCACCCCGAAGGATCATGTGTGTGTGTATATGCGTGTGCACACTTGTATAAATCTTAAAGACACACAAAACAATATGATGTATTGTTATGGATACAGATGTATGTGGGGAGTGATAAACACCAGATTTCCCTCTGGGGAGGCAGAGAGAGAGAGAGAGAGAGAGAGGGAGAGAGAGAGAAAGGGGTGGGAGCAGGGAAGGGAGTTGTGGCTGTGTTCCTTTTCTTTGAAAGAAAAGAGAAAGAAATCTAAGGCCAATACAGGAAATTATTAACATCGAGTCAGTGTGGGTGATTCCAGGTACACAAGTAGCTTGTTTTACTATTTTCTCCTAAGTTTCAAAGGAAGTTAAAGCAAAAAAGGAAAAAAAGAGGAGATGGCATTCTCTGCACAGATGGAGCTTTCCCTACAGGGGTTGGTGTGGACTCAGGGGAGGGGGACAATGAAGGCACTCAGGTGCAGGGCACAGCTGGGCAAGGCCGGTCAGGGGCTTGGGGGCTCAAAATCCTTGGGTGCAAAGGGCGTCTGGGGGAGGGGCGCCAGCGTCCTCCTTCCTGCTAACCCTCCTCCCAGTGCCTTGTTTACAGTCCTTTCTCACTCCCTCCCTACTGCTGCCTTTGGCTGATTTTCAAGTGGGCGATTTATTCATTCCTTCCCCTGTCCTGGGTGAGCATCTACTATACAGGAAGAGCTTCCAGGGCCCCTACCGTGTGGGGCAGTTACAGTCAAATGTAACAGCTCACTGACTTCTCACACAGCCCTGTAGGTGGGCATTATTACTACCGCCACCATCTCTATTTTATAGGTGAAGAAACAGGTGCAGAGGGGTTAAGGCATTTTCCTGGTTACACAGCTAGCAGGAAAGAGGAAGAGCTGGGATTCAAACCCAGGCCCTCTGGCACCAGAGCATGTGGTCCTCACTGCAGCATTTACATGCCAAGCATGGTGCTGAGTGCTGTGGATTCAGTGATGACAGGGGCGCCACAGCCCTGTCTTCACAGAGCTTCCAGGCCAGTAGGAGAACCTGGACACCAACCCAAGCAACATACACAGGAGTAATTATAACTGCTGAGCGAGTGGAGGAAGAGAACCTTGTGCTTTAAGGGAGGAACTACGCAGAAGGACACGCCAAGACTGATGGGTCCAAGAAAGCTCTAAAGAGGGAACATTTCAGCTGAGGCCTAAGGGATACGGAGTTAGCCAGCAGAGGTTGGGAAGGGCAGTGGAGACAGCAAGTACAAAGGCCCAGGGACAGGCAGGAGCTTGGGCGAGGACCAGAGAGGGCCAGAGGGGCTGGAGCATGGAGGGAACAGAGAGAGAAGAGCTGCAAGGCAGTGAGAGGGCAGGGGAGGTGTGACCCTCACTTGGGGCTTCCCTTACAGGGAGGGAGACCCCAGTTCTGGCTTGGGGTCCTGGTGTAAATACTCATAGTGTCCCAGTTTGATTTGGACAATAACAAAATTGAAGGTCACCCTCTTACAGGTGATGGCAGAGAGTCTGGATTTTGTTCTCAGGACAGTGGGAAAGCACTGAGGGGGTGTAGCCAGAGAGCACGGCCTGTTTCATTTATAATGCATAAAGGTCACTGTGACTGTGGTGTGGAGAGGGCCTGCAGGGGCACAGGAGGGTGGCCATTGTCTCTTTCCTGACTCAGCTGAACAGTGTGGAAGGAGCTGGGCCTGGGAAAAAGCAGGGGAGGCCTTTGGGCTGCTGGGGGTGGAAGCCATGGGCAATGTAACTCTACAAATGGATGCTGTTCCCCTTCTCCCTGCCCTGGTCCAGGCCTCAGCCCCAGATTCACCCCTTCTAAGAGAGGCATAGGAGGAAGCCTCTGAGAGCAGGTCCCCACCTCCCAAGACTGCAAAGCAGTTTGTGAAAGCAAGTTCCCTGGGAGAACTAAAGCACTGGGGGTATGTAAGAAATGACCATTAGCAATAATAACTTTCCATCTGATAATCTGCACGCTACTTTTCTCTTGTGCCCATACACAGTTCCTCTTATTTCCCAGAGGAGATTTCGGAAATGAGAGCCCAGGGAGCTCAGAGATACCAACTGGGACTCAAAATGCTGCTGGCTTCCCAACAGAACGAGTGCTGGGGTAGGGCAGGTGGCTTCTCCTGTCAGCTGCTGTACCTGTTGACTGGCCAGGGCTTGCTGCCCACGAATGAATGGGTACATGTGGGCCACCCCCTCTGCAGCCACCTCCCGCCCAGAGATAGGTATAGGGGGGCACACACTGTGGGTGGAGGCCCGCACGAATTTCCACATTCCTTTTAATTTTAGAGGGTCAGGAGCCTAAGCCCAGGGCTGGTAATAGAGAGGGGAAGGACGGAAAAGTTAGACTCCCGTGAGACAAAGCCAGGAAGCACGAAGAGCCTTGAGTGGGCCCTGCAAAATGGTTCGCACACAGCTGCCTCTTAGGAGGCCCTAACATTGCTGAATCGATCTTTCCTGTTTACAGGGAGGGTCAGCCAAATCTGGGTGCCAGGAGGGAGTGTTCAGGGAGGAAGAGAAGGGGCCGGTGGGAGAGGGGTCACTCACCAAGCGGCAGGACGAAGAAGAAGGGGAACCAGCAGAGCACGAAGACACCCACGACGATGGCCAGCGTCTTGGCCGCTTTCTTCTCGCGGGAGAACTTGAGCAGGCGCACGGACAGAGAGCTGCGGAAGGTGTGGCCCTTGGCACTGCGCGTCCCGTGCGCCCCGTCGGCGCCCATGGACGCCCCGCGACAGTGGATGCGCAGCACCACTTCCGAGGCCTTGCCCCGCTCTCGCTTGACGCCCGCCTCGAGGCTGCGCGTGGTGCTGCGCGCGACCACGTACACGCGGCAATACATGACCACGATGACCGCCATGGGCAGGTAGAAGGAGCACACGGAGGAGAAGACAGCATAGCCTACCTCCTCCGTGATGTTGCAGAAGCGCTCGTCTTGGGGCACCGGCTCCTTCCAGCCCAGCAGCGGCCCTACGGACACCACAAGGGCTACGGCCCAGAGCAGCGCCAGGATGGCGGCCGCCTTGCGCTCGGTCATGATGGCGGGGTACTTGAGTGAGTGGCGCACGCCCACATAGCGGTCCACAGAGATGGTGCAGAGGCTGAGGATGGAGGCTGTACAGCACAGCACGTCCACGGCGGCCCACACGTCGCAGAAGGCCCGGCCAAAGACCCAGATACCCAAAACCTCCTTGGAGGCCGAGAAGGGCAGCACCGTGGCGCTCAGCAGCAGATCAGCCACGGCCAGGTTCACAATGAAATAGTTGGTGACCGTCTGCAGGTGGCGGTTGCAGGCCACCGAGAGGATCACAAGCAAGTTGCCTGCCACCGCCATGAGGATGAACGCTGCCAGGAAGACGCCCACGCCCACTCCCTGCGCGCTCACCACCAGCCCCCCGACGGCCGCAGTGCCATTCACCTCTCCCGCGGCGCCTGAGCTCCCCGGCTCCCCGGCGGAGCTCCGGTTGTCCTCGCCGCTGCCTGCGCCCACCACGCTGCCGCAGCTGCCTGCACCCCCCGGCACGCCACCTACCGCCGGGCCCTCCGAGGCGGCCGTGCCGCCCGTGCCGCCCCCACCGCTGCCCGCACTGGAGCTCCCAGCACTACTGTCCGGGCGGGGTCCTTCGAAACTGACGCTCAGGAGGTCGCGGAAAGTCATCTCAACGTGTGGCCGTCGGGGGCCGGGCCCCGGCGCAGGATGAACTACTGGCTGGAAGCGGGACACCGGGCATAGCCGCGCGGCTCCAGATTCAGCCCCGCGCGCGGGTCCCGTCGGGGTCCTGCTCAAGTTGCTGTGATGCGGAGAGCGGCTGCCGGAGAGCTAAACTGCCCGGCCCGGGGGCGGCGCGAGTTCCCGGAGACCGGCGGTGGAGTCGGACTGAAGAGCTGGGGCCGGCGACACTCGCGACTCTCTGAGCGTGCCCAGGCGAGCCGGCAAAGCGGCGGCTCCGGGGCCGGGCGGTGCAGGCAGCGGCCACTGCGGTGCTCCCAACTCGGCGCGGGGGGCGGGACGGAGGAGGGGCAGCGCCTGGAGGGAGGAGGGGGCGACCGGAGCTGAGGGAAGGGGCGCCACGCTCCCCAAGAGAAGGGCTCCAGCGCGCAGGGCAAGCAGATGTGTCAGGGATCAGAACTGCTGCGGCGCCGGTGAGCGCTGGGGTCTCGCAGCGGCCACCCACGCCTCACCGCAGGGGCGCACGCCCGCCTCCTCTCCTCGCAGTACTCGTCACGCTCCTTCCCCAGCTTCTCCCAGACCCCCTCCCTTTTTGCCTTCAGCTGCCTCCCTTTTGCTCCCACCCTCTCCCCAGCGTCTTGGTCACTAGTGGGTGCCCTTGGGCGCATGGTGCGTAGAAGGCGCGATTCCCAGGTCCCTGGGCTGCCGGCTTCGGCCGCCAGAGAGCAGCAAGCGCATGGGATCTGCGGACTCCAGACCGACGCGCTGTGTGGTGGAGGGTCTCCTCCTGGGACTGCCTGGACAGATCCGCCGCACGGCCTTCTTTCTCTCAGGCCACTGGTCAGGGCAGGGTTTCAAACACCTCTACCCAGTGCGATGAGGTGTAGAGAAGCCAGGAGGGAGCATAAGTCTGTGTTGGGCTGAGGCTAGGTGTGATGACGCAGACACAGGAGAATATGTGGATACAGCTCTCGTACCCTGCTTGAGACACATTGGTCTACGTACACCAACTTCACTGTTAACTTAACTCCGTATCAGATGTGGGAATAGCTTTCTATTGCTACGGTAAATGAGTGGGCTTGTTCTGGGGAGGGAGGGCTTAAGTGCTGGAGGGCGGTGGGAAAGGCCACTTGGCAGGGTGGTTAAGAAGGGAGGGTGTGAGACAGTCTGACTCCAAATCCAGTCTCCGCCCCATATTAGCTGTTTGACCTCTTTGGGCCTCAGTTCCTCATCTGTAAAATGAGCGGGGGAGTAGTGCTGGCCTGTCCATCTAGTGACACGAGGGTTAAACTAGTTAATATGTGATAGGGCACTAGAGCAGTGCCTGGGTTTGTTAACTGAGTAGGGCTTGGTAGGGCAGGGTTTGAACAGGCAGGACAGAGGGCAAGAAGGGGTGTGGAAGCGGTATGAACCCCAGGACACAGGTGGAGGAGAGGTAATGAGGAGCTGCCTTTGACCCGCTGGCCTGGGTAGGGAGAGAGACGAAGAGATCATTGTCTTAGCCAAATTAAAAGTACTTACTGGCTGCTGTCACAGGTGGCAAGCACCCTGCTGGGTACATGCTGGATGACAGGGATAAGAGGAATTGCAGGGAGGATAATGCCACCTCATAGGTGCAGGCTGAGGGTGGTTTGAGGCTTGCCAGGGAGATGAGCACCCGTTTGCAGAGGTCGCTGCGAGGGGATGGAGAACACATGGCCTCAGGGCCCACTGGTTGTGGATGACACAGGGGCAGGATGTCTGAGAGTCCTAGATGAAAGGGTGCTTTGGAGGAAAATAGGAGGAAATGGGAGAAAGATTTTGAGATGGGTAACATTCCTCCCCTGCCCTCCCACAGCCCAGACAGCCAAGGCTGTTAAAATCATAGCTTAGAAACAGCTCTTCCAAGGCCCCCCTGCTTCCCCATTAAATCTTCCATCTTCTGCTGGGGCTTTTGGAAACTTACCATAGCGAGTTGAAATGAAAGCAAGGTGTCTTCTAAGGATTGGCTAGCAGCGGACCAAAAACAAAACCTTGGATTCGGGCTACTCTTTGAAGGGGAAGGACCCAGGACACCCAGAGGGAAGGCCAGAAGACCCTACCTGGGGCGGGGGGTGTTTGGTGGCAGGCTCAGTGTTCATGACTGGCTGCCATCTCATAGCATGGGAAATGCATAACCCTAGTGGAGTCCATCTGATTTGGGGCTTGGCCAGTTTTCAAAGAAGAATGGGAATAGGAGACATGGTTAAACCTAAGGCTGGGACTGGGATGCTAAGGGACTGCTTGACCAGTGTCACACAGAGATATGTGACTAATTCTGGTCTGGAGAGCCAGCAGAAGGCTGCCTGAAAGTGTCCTTGCCAGCAGGGTGGGGAGGAGTTGTGGGATAGTATGTCTGGAAGAAGATAAGGCAGCTTTACCTTATTTTAGGTCCTGGTGGTCCTCATAAGGTCTGCAAGAGGTTTCCAGAGGTTCTGGCGCTCTAAGGGAAGGAACGTGGAAGGGCTTATGAGATAAACAAATGAAGGAAGGGGTTGTGAGCATGTGCTGCTGGCAGGAGCAAGGAGGGACAGAGCTTCCTGTGTATGATCGTTTTTTCTTTTAAAAATAATTCTTTGAAGGCTCACCAGTGCTTTGTGTTAAGTCCTTAGCATGGATAGTCCTGTGGGACTGTACTTTTTCTTCTTTCTTTTGTTTTGAGAGGGGGTGCTCAAAGTAATTCATTTGGAAGGGGACTCTAGGAAGCATGATGAAGTGATTGTTTCTTTAAAAAGCTGGTAGGGCGCTGGCCTCATATA